CGCTCTCGCCCCAGACCCCGCCCCTTAGGCCACGCCCCGCCAGGTCTCGCCCCCTGAAGGCCCCGCCCCGTTAGGCTCCGCCCAGCCCGACGTTCCGCCGCGTCAGGTTCCACTCTCACCAGAGACCCCCACCCTGAGGTCACGCCTTCATCACGGCACTGTCCGGCCCTCACACCCATTAAGCTCCTGTCCCCAAGCCTCTGGCCATCGTTCCCTCGCTCCGCGACCCCCAGCCTGAGGCCACGCCCTCCTCTAGGAGAAAACGACCCGTCTGGGGCCTCAGGTCACACGCATTGTGGTTAGGGTTTCCGCTGAAGCCCCCAGGAGACTCACCCACAGCAGCTGCTTCCGGAGCCCATGGATGGCCCTCGCATTGGCCTGGGTCTGGGAGACGCACACGGTCAGGACGAGGCTTGGGGCGGAAGGGGATTCAAGGTCAGTCACCCCTTGGACCACAGGTGCAGCCTCTTGACTTCCTCTCTCCCTACCCTAGTCTCTGGCGTTCTGGGGTCTTCTGTCCGCACACGGCTTTGTCTACAGATAGGACCCTCCTCTCCTTCCCACGGCCCCTCCTCCAGCACAGCAACACCCGGGACTCAGCAGCAGCGGGTTTTGAGTGCTTCTGCCCCACCCCATTCCAGAAAGTGGGCCCAGAAGGTGCCTGCTTTATGAGTGAGGCACCTGAGACCCCTAGGCCACTGTCCCTGAGGCCCTGCTTCCTCTGGCTCCCAGATCCCATGAGACTGGCTGGGGATGCCCAGCCTACACCAGCACCATGGAAGGACCCCCGCCTTCCAGGTCCCTCCCCCACCTGGCGCCCTTGTCCCTGCTGCTCTGAGAGACACCTGAGCATGACGAGGAGGGGGAGGCTGAAGGCGTGGGAGCCGAGGTAGTGGAGGGCGCGCTGGCCATGGGGCGGAAGCCGGAGGGCCACCAGCTCAGGGACCACCTGCCAGGGGGCCGAGTAGTTGGTGAAGAGGCCACAGTCCCAGGAGGAGTGAATGCTGGAGAAAGACAGCCAAGGGGGGCAGGCATCAGGGCATCAGGGCATCAGGTCCCCGGGTGGGGGGGGGAGCTAGCCACCCCTGCTGTCCTCCTGGCATTTCCCCCCCTGCCCCTCACCTGCTGACCACATAGCCCAGGGGCACCGCGGCCAGGAGCAGACCCAGGAGGAGCACCAACTGGAAGAAGAAGGTGGAGCTGGAGGCACGGAAGAGTCGTGGAGACGCCTTGGAGTTCCTCAGGAGGGTGTACTGGGGAGTGAGCAACAAGAATTAGCGCAGTCTGCAGACCCCTGGGGTCTGAGGCCCAGGGGAAGGGGGACAGGGGCAGGAGACAAGCCCGCAGAGGCACCCGCCCCAGGCCCCTCCCGGCCCGTGAGCGTCACCTTCTTGATGTAAAAGGTAAGGAAGATGAAGACGCTGTTCAGAAGGGGCAGCAGGGGGCAGTAGAAGAGGCCCATCCAGGTGACCGTCTGCCCTGCCACGATGTCCAGCACGTTTTTGGGCACCAGGAACTCCTCCCGGTCCAGCCAGGCCCAGAACCGGCCTGAGAACCGCTCCACCAGCAGTCTGAGGGGAGGGCGGGGCCCAGGCGCCCACCGTGCAAGAGGGATGTGTGGGACACGCCGATCATGGCCGTGGACTGTCATTATTCCCAAGGACATCCACGTGTGGACCTGGCCCCCCCTGAGCTGTGGCCGCTGGCCCTCTCCAAACACACCGACAGCACCCTCATCCTCCCGGCAGCGCCCCTCCGTGGCTCACCTCCGAGGCAGGCTGACCAGGAAGGCGAAGGCCACGGTGAGGAGGAAGTTGAAGATGCTTAGCTTGTACAGCTCCTCCCCCACGGAGTTCTCCCAGCACTGCGGTGCAGAGGGAGGGGTCCGAGGGGTCCGTCACCACCGCAGCCCGCCACCCCCTCCTTCTCCTCCCTCACCGGCACATGGGGGGGGTCTCTGTGTGGAGACTGATAGGATTGCTAAAGCTTCCAGGACAGGATTAGAGCAGGGAACCCACAGCCAGGGTCGCCACACTGCACGATGCAGTGACAGTGGTGCCCCCTGGGGGTGTGCTGCTGTATGGGCAGCTCTGCTCACAGCTCCTCTCAAAGGTGAGACCCCGAGGTGGGTGGACAAGGAGACAAAAGGGAAAAGGACAGGACTCTGTGAGGTTTGAGGGAGGACTTTGGGGAGAAGGATGGGAGGGACAGGCCCACTGGGCTGCCAGCCACCTGGTAGTCACAGGCGTTGTAGCCGTAGGACTCACAGCTGGTCTTGTTTCTGCCGATGCACAGCACAGTCTGACCCAGCGAGAAGGAGAACATGCCCAGGCTGGCCAGTTTCAGCACCACACACCTGGGGGCGGGGACTGCGTCAGGGAGCAGGGCCCAGCTCTGGACACCAGCGCTACTCAGGCTACCAGTATGACTGATGTCTGAGTGCCATCACGTCGTGTCCCGGGTCCAGCGCCTCCACATCCAGAGCCCAAGCTCCTTCCAGCCAGCAATGTTTCCCAAAGTGTGCTTCCAGAATCTGAGCCTCCAGATGATTCATGGGGAAAAGGGTTCTGTTTTTATTTTTATTTTATTTTTTGATTTATTGTAGAGATGAGGTCTCACCAAGTTGCCTAGGCAGGTCTCGAACCCATGGGCTCTGGCAGTTCTCTCACTGCGGCCTCCCAAAGTGCTGGGATTATAGGCGTGAGCCACCGCACCTGACCTGGGTTCTGTTTTTATTTTTATTTTTATTTTATTTTATTTTTGAGTTGGAGTCTCACTCAGTTGCCCAGACTGGAGTGCAGTGGCTGCTCCCGGCCACCGCAGCCTCGACCTGCTGGGCTCCGGCGATCCTTCCGCCTCAGCCTTCCGAGTAGCTAGAATTACAGGTGCGCGCTACCACACCTGGCTGATTTTTTTATTTTATTGTAGAGATGAGGTCTCGCCTGCCCAGGTGGGTCTCAAACCCGCGGGCTCAGGCAATCCACTCACCTCAGCCTCCCAAAGGCACGGGATTACAGGCTGAGCCACCGAGCCCGGCGGGTTCTGTTTTTAAATCAGTTTGGGAAACACCGCATGGTCCAGCCACATTCTCCCACACCCAGTGTGGAAATGCACATATGACAGCCTTGCAGTTGAGAAAATTGCAGACTTTTCAGGATCTGTAATGCACTGGGTTCTTCCTTTCTTCTACCATCTGTTCACATCTAGGCTTAAACACGTGCCATGCACACACGTCATAAACACGTGCCATGCACACTCACTGCACAACATGTAACTAGACCAATAGCAACGATAGCCTAAACCCAAACCATCGTGTGCACATTGTCTGTAAGATGGACTGTCCCTAGTGCTGATGCGGGCTACAGACGGGCTGGGAGCAGTGGTCCTCCTCTTGAGGGAGGCTGGGAGGCGGGTAGGGGTGTATATATATATATTGAGACAGGGTCTCATTCTCGTCCAGGCTGGAGTACAGTGATATGATCATGGCTCACTGAAGCCTTGAATCCCTGGATGCCAGCAATCCTCCCACTTTGGCCTCCCAAAGTGCTGGGATTATAGGCATGAGCCACCCGGCCCGGCAAGGGGCTTGTTTTTTTAATCTTTCCTCCTATTGAGCATTTTGAATGTTCTTGTCATGTGCGTGTGTTAGAATCTATTCAAATAAAGTTTCAAAGCAGACCAATCACAGCTGACATGGAGGAAGCCGTGGGAAAAGCAGGCAGGACAAGTGCAGGGAGAGGGTGGCGGGAGGGAGAGAAGCCAGCTGGAGCTCAGGGGGGCTGTCCACCAGGATTTCTGGGAGGGCGTTTGGAGAGGGGCTGGGGGTCCAGACAGGACTTAAATGCTCAGACAGAAAAATGGCAGAGCCTAGGGGGTGGAGAGCGCTTGATCGTGAACCTGCACCCAGCTGGCATGGTGAGCTTGGCCTTGACCTAGCATTTCACCCGTGTGGATCTCAGTTTTCTCATCCATCAAACGGGGATGAGGATGGTTTGGACTTCATGGGTCACGTGAAGGTTGTCAAAGTAAGCTGTGCGTGTCCTGTGCTGCTGGTTTTCCTGTGTGTGTGAAGTTGGTTCCCAACACCCCCTGGCAAAACTTGCCAGTGTTTGGTCCAGGCTGGTGGCTTCCTTGAGAGATAGGGGCCTGGAAAGTCTTAGGACCCCTGAGTTCATGTGTTGGGGCACCCACTTGCCTTCCCTCGGGTGCAGTAGTGAACGAGGGGAGGCTCCCAGCTGGGGACCCGAGTCCTAAGTGACAACCAGGAGGCAGGATATAGACTCTTCACATGTGCCCATTTGTTTCCCCCACCAAGGGTGGCACTCACCAGATAAGGGTGAGGTTGACCTCGGTGTTGGGAGGATAGTTCTCCAGCTGGACCAGGAACGCAAACAACAGTGGACCCAGGAAGTTGACAAGGGCGATGACCCCAGGAGGCAGGTACTGGAGCAGCAGGAACACGGACTCCTGCGGGAAGAAGGCCAGAGGAGCCCTGTCAGCTCCCCTATCGCCCATGGCCCCCTGAAGTGTAACTCTGGTGCAGACCCGAGATCCAGAAGCCCACAGATGACTCCCTGCAGCAGCCTGGCAGTCGGCGGGGATATCTACAGTGAGAGCTGGTCTGACTGGGCCATGACCTTGTGGTTATGGCCGCTTTAACCTCTCTGAGCCTGTTTCCTCATCTGTAAGGTGGGATCATCCCATCTCCCCCTACAGTTCTGTCCAGGATTCAATGAACACAGTGGCACCTCCTTGTTGTCCTGCGAGTACTTGGTGGCCCAGAAGATGGCGCTGATGGCTCCGACCACCAGGAGCCCAATGAGGACATTGACCCGCAGGTAAGTAAGCAGGTGGCAAGCCCTCTGCGCCCGCGTCTGCTGCTGCACCAGCTGGAAGCGACGGCCCTCCTCCAGCTCCACCTGCCGGGAGGGTGCAGGAGAGGCGGCCGGCTGGGGGTGCCACCTCACACTCACACTCACACACTCGTTCATACCCATTCACACTCAGTCACACAAGGCCCCATATGGCCATGCTCACATGGACATTCAGATTCATGCACTGTCACACCACCATCCCACGCACACTCTCACAACCACTCAGGCATGCAGACACACACACATACACACACAATCACATGTGCCCTCACACCATCACACTCACATAGACACTCAGATTCACACACTGTCACACTCACCATCACACACTCACGCACACTCCTGTGCTTAGCCACATGTGCACACACTCTCACCACTCAGGCACACAGACACACACACATACAATCACATGTGCCCTCACACTGTCACACTCACATAGGAGCAGAGTCACCGCAGGGCGGGCAGGCGGACACACACAGTCACGCGTGTTCTCATACTGTTGTGTTCACATAGATTCACACGCTCTCAAACTCACAGTCACACTCTCTCACACTCGGCCACACACACACACACACACACACACACTCACACCACTCGGGCACGTGGGCACACACAAACATGCCCTCACACTGTCACACTCACAAAGACACTCAGACTAACACTCTCACACTCACCATCACACAGTCCTAGTCACACACTCCCACACTCAGCCACACGTACACACACACTCTCACAACCACTCAGGCACGCAGACACACACACACACACAATCACACCTACCCTCACACCACCACACTCACATCGTCACTCAGATTCATACACTTACACTCACCATCACACATTCACCGTCACACACACTTCTGTACTTAGTCACACGTGCACACACTTTCACAACCACTTAGGCACGTGGACACACACACAGTCACACATGCCCTCACACTGTCACACTCAAATAGACACTCAGACCCACACTCCCACACTCAGCCACACGTACACACACACTCTCACAACCATTCAGTCATGTGGACACACAATCACACATGCCCTCACACTGTCACACTCACAGACACTCAGATGTACACACTCACACTCACCATCACACATTCACAGTCACGTGAAGTCTCATACTCAGGCACACGTGCACACACACTCTCACAACCCCACTGAGTCATGTGGACACACACAATCACACATGCCCTCACGCTGTCACACTCACACTCAGATGTACACACTCACCACCACACATTCACAGACACATGCACTCTCACACTCAGGTACATGTGTACACACAC